CGTATTGTTAAAATACAGTATTTATCCACATTCACGATAATATTTATATATTCAACAAAAAAAAATCTTCATATTAATAATAATAATAATAATAAAAAAAATAAAAAAAATCATATGTGTCCGAAAGGGAGTAGGAGGAAGCAAATGCTTATTAATTCCCACCCCTTACTTGATCAATGATTGTCCTTTAAGTCATTGTGCAAGTTATTCCTACTTAGATTTACATGTATACATACATATACAATAATTTCTCATCTTCAATCACCTCTCTTCATTCTCATAGTTTTCCAAAAAAGTGTTTCTGTACATCCTTTTAAACTGAATTATGCTTGTGCTTTGTTTTAACTCCTGCTCCAAACCATTCCATAAAATCACCCCACAGATTGTTATACTCATACTTCTCAGAGTTGTTCTGACCTTGAGTTGTTTAAAATGTAGATTTCCTCTCAAATGATACCCACCCTCTCGGTCTATGAACAATGTTTTTAATTTCCTAGGAAGTAGATTATGTCTTGCTCTGTACATGATTTGTGCCGTTTTAAATTTAACCAGATCAGTGAACTTCAATATGTGTGACTTCAAAAATAATACATTAGTGTGTTCAAGATATCCAACATTATTGATAACTCTTATAGCCCTTTTTTGTAATGTGCATAACGGCTGTAGGTTGGTTTTGTACGTGTTTCCCCAAATCTCCACACAGTAAATCAGATATGGCAATATGAGTGTGTTATATAGAGTATACAATGAGTTGTAGTCCAGAATGTGTCTGGCTTTTCCCAATATTGCGATAGTCTTAGCCAGTTTTGCTTTGACATGAGTGATATGAGCAACTAATGTATTGTTAGAGGTAAGAATACAGAGGTAGCATTATGTCCAGCTAGCATGCTAATTGCTAACGTTATATTATCGTTTTATCCCGGAGGGGAAAACTAGTTTCTAATCCTGAGAGAAACACCTCGCCTGAAACACACGATTAGTGCCATGAGTTAGTGAAGCAAATTACAGAACATTGCACACTTATTCACAAGTCAAAACGTGTTCATAGCGGGCATCGCTGAGAATAGCTAGCTAGCTAGATGTTGTTAGCCAGCTTGGACCTAACGTTAGCAAGTTCTAGCATGGCTAGCTCGATCTACTGAGCAAATAAAAGTACATCTAAGACCAGTATTGTGCAGATTAAAACAGTGCAGTGCATGTATTTTATTTTACCTTGGTAGTCGTCCCGACATGACTTTGCCAGGTCTGCTAACTTTGCAGAGCCACGGAAACTGCATTCAGTAGAAGCTTCTGAATGCGGCGCTTCGCGTCCTCCGAGTAAATCGCCAGAAACGCCGAGACATCCTCATCAATTCCACCGCTCCGATGATTTATTTAGTGTTGCTATAATAACTGCTTTCACAAAAGTAATCTTTTCGGGTACGCTGCCCGAAGCGAGCAAATACAATGGCCGCTTCCAAAATAAAATTCAGAGTCAAACGGGCGTGGTTTGCATTCCGCACAGCCAATCAGACGTACGAACTATTTTCTCCCACGACAGTCCCTGCTCTCTAGCAGGGACTGAAAAGCGGGTCGGACGAACTAATTTGAGCTACTTTAGTTCCTGGGGCTTTTTGGTGTGAATGCAAATATATCGTAGTTCTGATGAACTATTGTGGGAAAAGTACACCAAAGTACTCCGGTGTGAACGCACCTATATGATGTACAATGTGTTGGAGCACTAGCCAATAGAAACGCAGGCATTACATATGTCAATATGTTACAGAAGTTGTTTCAGGCAGGACAGCGAGGTAGAGAAACTCCCTCTGGAGATACTTTTGGATTTCAGCCTTTGCAGACCATTGACATGCACAAAAACGTATCACACACTACAGGAAATGGAAACCCCCAAAAAGCAGAATGAGGCCTCTTTAATGTAAGCTTGAAATGAGGTTGTTTCATTCTAAGGGCTTTCTTTTCATAAATCCCACGTAAAGCAGTTTTGTTTCTCCTTTGCAACATTCAGGTGTGGTGCTCTAACATTGCAGCAGATCCATGCCAGTCCTCAGAGTATGATTACATACTGTTAATGATTTAAAGGAAATCGGCTTATTTACAGTCATTAGCAGCCGCACCACTGCCTCTGGCAATATCACACATACAACCGCAGTTTCAATCCTGCAATTTCTGTATTTAAAACGTTGTATGAGTTGTGATAGTATAGCGGTGCGCAGGTCAAAATGCTGGCAGATCAGACTTACCATAACATAACTGCACAAAAGAGGGGGCTGACCCTAATGGCTGAATCACTGCATCACCAAGGCAACATCATTGAGCAGAAAACCAAGGATGGAAAACGTGTGTGTGTGTGTGTGTGTAAGTTTGCATGTTGTGTGTTTATGAGAGCTGAAAGAAGAAGAGAAGGGAACAAAAGAGTGTAATCATTTGCACTCTGGCTCATATTTCCTGCAAAATAGAAAATGTGTATTTATTGTTTTCCTGATGACTGCCTTTATTTATGTTTTACTAAACCAACTCACCACATGTATAATAAACAGAATTAAATGAAAAGATTCAGATAAGATTATCAGAAAGGTTGTGCGAGGGTATCATAATATTTATACTAGCCCCCCCCATTAACTTTGCTCGGAGGCACCATGTACGGCGCTCCTTTAGTCTGAGGGGTCAAAAGTTCTCTAAACAAACGTTACCATTGGTCAGGGGCGTCAATAGTCCATCCAGCCAGCAGAGAAACCAAGAGCCCCTCAAACAAAGTTCACTATTCATCTCAGGGGTCAATAGTTCTCTTCACAAAGCTCATCATCGCAAGGTCAATAATTTAAACAGAGTCAGGAGGCCTGGTTCTCCCTGTAAACACGGACTGCCATTGGACTTGCAAGGTCATCAGTCTGAGCACTTCCCTGGATCAGGTCTTATCAGGAAAAAGCAAGTTTAATATGAGGGTGGCAGGTTGGAGTCCAGACTGAGAGAGTGGCTGCAGCGTGGGTCTGCTGGTCAGATGGTCAGTGTCAGCAGGCCTTTTGTTATGCTCTTATTGTATCAGTGCGCTGAACGGGAAAACAACAAAAGAGCCAAATAAATCATTAAAATACAGAATCCCCTCAGCTTCCACATCTGACTCCTTAGTCATCAATTAGGTCACCTCCTGATTGCTTGACATATTCATGGCCTTCATCAGCGTCATTTAATGGTGAGGACAGGAAGAAGGAGGGGTGTTATTGATTTCTTCATGCATCTAGGATGATATAATATTGCATATTTATCTCGCAGACATAACAAAGTCTAGAGCAGGGGTGTCAAACTCAAGGCCCGGGGGCCAAATCCGGCCCGCGACTTCATTTTATGTGGCCCCACAAGAGCTTGCAAAGAATATAATATGTTTATTATACGGTTACATGCTACTTTACAGAAGCACGTTGCCCATAAACGACATGTCCCACAATGCATCTCAAATTTGACTTTTTCTCAGAATTTGACTTTTTTTGTCCAAATATGCCTTTTTTCTTAGAATTTGCCTTTTTCTCATAAATAGATTTTTTTTTCAAAATGTCACTTCTCTTTTTCAAAATGTCACAATCAATGTTTTTCCAGAATGTGGCTTTTCTTTTAAAATCATATTGTGACATTCTTACTGAAGAGACTTGCAATTATTTGCTCTAGACTTCTGCTTTCAGACGTAGTTAATTATGAAGTTATATTAATTAATGATATAGTCTTAAAGTTACAACCGGCCCTTTGAGTGCAACCATAATGCTGATGTGGCCCGTGATGAAATTGAGTTTGACACCCCTGGTCTAGAGCATAAAGCAGGTGATATTTATTTATTCACCTATTCAAATGGAACCAATGCACATGACAAGAGGAACAGTGTATTATCTTAGTAAATTATGTGTGTGTGTGTATAGCGGAACAATATGTGTAACCTTTGTATTGCAGAGTCCCATAACTCCAACCCTGGCTGTGAGATATTTGTACACACAGTGACCGCAGTACTGAGGGGTTATGGAATAACAAGGAGCTCCATGCATTATTAATGGGCTCTGCTGTGAATCTGTTCAGAATAATAACGGCGATTTCCCAGAGCCTCATTACTGTGTGTTTTTAAAGCATGTGTTTGGTATCCATGGACACCCGCTCTCACATTCTCCTCTTCTCCCCTGCGTTGAGATTCAGGTCATGCACGGCACTTGCTGTTTTTAATTTTCATTTCATCATAAGCACTTTAAGACTGTTGCCAGCGCTTATTTGCAGTTTTCCTGCAGACCTCTTCAGTCGGGCTTCTGACAGGACAGATGCTGCAATTAATCACGGCAGAGAAATGGGCATCGTTTCCATAGCGAGCTGAAGAGCCAATCACGTGGCAGCAGGGTCCAAATTACAAATGTTTTCCTCAAACTAACTAATTGAAAACAAACCAGAAATTTGAAAATTCTATCAAGCCGCTATCACAGAAGCACAGGAGCAGATTCTCTCTCCTCATTTGTAACTAACGTTAACTCAGCAGCCTTTGGAATAAAAAGGCCCTTCTCTGGGTCGGTGGATTCTCAGCCTATTGTGAAGATATGATAATTATTGTTTGCCTGCCTTCCCTCCCCCGCTCGCCATTTTATTCAAGGGAGCTCAGCAAACCCCTGGGGATGTCTTGGAAATGAAGCGATTTCGAAGGGAGTAAGAAAGAGGTAGAATCCAATGCACTGGTGTGTGAGAAGGGGACTGTTATTGAGACAAGTGCCAGTTACATGCTGACCATGTCCAACACTGTTTTTACACACAGTTACAATGGACTTCCACGCATGAACGCTTGCATACCCCCTGCAATTTCTCTTATAGAATTACTCCATAGACAACATACAAATGTATTTTTATATCTCATAAAGAACTGAGAGCTATGGATTTTCAATAGCCCACAGGGAGACGTGAAGAAATACCTCATAAAAGTTATGGCTAATAAAGCTTTTGAAATAAACCAATTCATTCAAATAAATATTTGTGATTGATAGTTTAATTTTGAACAGAGACACAAAGAAATATATAATACTTCATACAAAATTATGGCTACTATCATATTAGTGATGGAATGTCTCTGGATTCATCTTCATGGCCGAGCAAAAACTCAAACATTAAATTACTTTTCCTATCGTGAGCTGAAAACAACCTCCGTACGGATATGCATTTATTCTATGGACAATATTTTAAAAGCAGTTGGTTTGTAAGCAAAATACAAACAAAATTAATTGCTGCTATTGTAACTCATAAAAAAAGTATAAAAGAGCAGAAATGCACTATGTGATATAGCAATCCACAGGTCGTTTAACAATGTTTTAATTAAAGCCTCACATATTAAAACTTTACAACAGGTGATGTGAAAAATGTACAACGTCTTCTTTTTTTTCCTCAGGGACTTCTGTACAGAAAAATACCTCCGATGCCTTTCAGTCGGCTTTGGCAGTGCAACAAACTGGCTCTGCTAGTTTCCTTTTTTAAAACAATGACCCATCAAGAAGCAGAGTAAAAATACAGCAATCCCCAAACCATCTGCCTTGATCCGGACATTTGTATTTACCATAAAATATCCCCTTTGTTACACAAAATAAAAACATAATTTAATTGTTAAACATCTGAAGTAAAAACAAATAGATTAAAGATCATTTTTTTGGAGGAGGGGGTGCCAGTTACACGCTTGTGGGCTAGGGTAGTGGATACGGGAGGTCCTGTGTCTCCCACTCTACGAAACATGTACAGCAGATTACAGCTACAGTTTGATGATGTGATGAAACAAGTGATTTATGGCAGTTTCTGTCTCTGTCTGTTCAGTCGTTCATCCAGAGGTCTAGACTTTATATTTTCAGTTCCCCTTCTTCTTCAAGACATTGCTTACATTTGTGAGATGATTTAACAGTGTTCAAATATCACTGGGCCTCCGACGTGTGATGATTTAATCAACCATTTCCTTCTCCGCCATTGTTGAAAGGTTACATCTGCCAGAGCGATGTGTGAAGGAGAAAGGTTGGAGTAAAGAAAGTCTCGCTATATACTGGCCAGTGTGGGAACAAAGACTGATGTGTGGGTTTACTGGTTTCCAGCAAGGATCCTGTGAGTCAGTCCAGGCGAGAGCTGATAGAAATCCTCTGGTTCAAACGCATTCAAAATGTCTTTTTGCTGCGTTGAACTGAAGACTCTGGCCGCATAAATAAAGCTTTATTGTTAAATAAAACAGTGAAAGACACGTCTTTCAACATATTGTGTGCCCAGTCAGTTTAAATTGACAACTGAAAGACCTCACAAACAAACAGATAAACAATCACTGGGCGCTCGCCCTAACAGGCTTCTGTCACAGCTCAGCCTATTTTATAGACAAAAACCAAGTTAACATGTTCTCCCCTGTACACGCGTGTGCATATCCGTCTATAACAATGGACAAGTTCTTTGTATAACATTCTAAATCTTACACACTTCTTAAGTGCAACGTAGAAAAGCAACGTGGAATGATGCTTTTATTCTATTCCTGTTCTTTGAGATAGGATTTCCATTTGGCTCAGTAAATGCTGACTTGGGACAGGGCCTGGGCGTGGGCCTGGATTTGGGAAGGGTGAGGCTGCTGCTGGGAGGCCGGCTGGGGGCTGCCGAGCGACGCAGAGCCCCCCACTGAACCAGGAGAGTGCTGGGGGGGGGAACACTGGGACTGGTGCTGCTGCTGCTGCAGATGTTGAATCTGCTGCTGCTGGTGCATCTGATGCTGCATCTGCATGTGCTGCATCTGCTGCTGCTGCTGCTGCTGCTGCTGCTGCTGTTGTTGTTGTTGTTGTTGTTGTTGTTGTTGTTGTTGCTGCTGCTGTTGTTGCTGCTGCTGCTGTTGTTGTTGGTGTTGCTGCTGCTGCTGAATGTGGTGCTGCTGCAGCTGCTGCTGGAGGTGGTGTTGGAAATGCTGATGCTGCATCTGCTGCTGGATCTGCTGGTGGTGCATCTGCTGCTGCTGCATCTGATGGTGCTGGAGGTGCTGCTGCATCTGCTGCTGCTGCTGGATCTGCTGCATGGCATGCTGCTGCGGCTGCATGGGGGGGCTCATCTGAGACACCGCTGTGGACTGGGCACCCGCCACCATGCCCCCTCCGGACCCCATCGGGCCGAGCATCTGCTGGGGCATCCCGGGGGCCATGTTCTGGTGGGAGACGGTCACCGAGGTCACGATCTGGTTGCCTCCTAGTCTCATCTGCAGAGGTTTTGGGGCGATGGCCCGTGGTATGCCTTGCTGTAGGGCCAGGGCAGCTGCTGCCATGGAGTGGTGCTGGTTGAGGGGTGAGGGCATCATCAGGCCGGGGGACAGGCTGGTGGAGGCCAGGGTCTGCTGCACGGAGCGGATGGTCTGGGCCTCGGCTGATTCTGCTGCAGCCTACATGGAGAACAAATATCCAATCTTATTTACAAAGCCACACTTTTCCTCTCTGAAGAATGTCTAACTTCCCAGTGCGCAATGTAATACAAGGAATTTCTGATAAATGTACTTTTCTAACAAATTCACACATTTCTCAGGTAGAAAGAAAGGAAAAGTTTCTCACCTTGGAAACCAGGCTAGCACGGTATGCGGCAAGAGCTTTTAAATATTCTTTCTTGGCAGCTTCTGTTTTGCTTTTGTAAGACTGTGAAGACACAAAAGGTGAATGGATAAATACAACTTGTTTTTCACTTGAGACAGTCCTTTTATGACACAAAGCACATTACACAGATCTCATACTCTCTGTACACTTGTTTCCAGCCTGAATATGGATCTCAGTTTTTTAACTAGTAGGGCTATGCATTGGCAAGAATATTACAATAACTAGAATAAACAAACGTTGTATTACCTGCTTCTGTTCCTCTCCCAGACCGTCCCACATGGAGGCCACGATCTTGGACACCTCTCCAAAGGTGGCGTTTGGATTCTGACCCTTAATAGCAGCCTGGGTGTCTCTGAAGAACAGAGCGTAGGCGGACACCGGTTTCGAAGGCTCATTGGGATCCTTCTTCTTCTTCTTCTTGGGAGTCTTGGGCTTCTTTACAGGATCTACGGGGGCTGGCCGCTTCTCTCCAATGATCTGCAATGATTGAGATAAATACATTTAACATCAGGAGGTCCATATCTTTCACTGACCCTTAAAGGTCCCCCATTATACTGTTTTTCATCAATATATTACAGGTCTCAGATATATACAAAACATGTCTCTGAAGTGTTTGGCTCCAAACACCAAACAGATCATGGCAGCATCCCATAATCCCCTCTGTTTCAGCCCTGTTTCCAAAGTGCTGATTCTCTGTCTGTTACTTTAGATGAAAATAAGGAGCCCCTCCCCACGCCCCTCTGAGAGATATTTGGTTAAAAAGAACACAATGGTGCTCTAGGAGGAGATTCAGGTGAAAAGGTGGGGGGGGGGTTACCTTGGTTGCTGATTGGCTAATGGTTACACAAGCCAACAAATCGTTATGACATCATAAAGTGGCCAAAATCTGATCAGCTCATTTTCAGACAGGTTTTTATATAAATGGATCAGGACAAAAAGAGAGAGAATCTTTGTTCCTGAAACTTTCAGAGTCTCTTTACACAGAGGGGACACATGCTGAAGAGACATGAACAAGTGGATTTTGCACAATAGGTGTCCTTTAAAGACATTTCGCTCACCCTGTTGCCTTCCTCCTGGTCGTCCTCGTTGATGGAGCTGGAGGGAGACGGGGTGGCGGATTTGCTGGTGGGGGGTGACGGGGCAGTGTGGGCGATGTTGGGTCCCGCCATGTTTAAGCTCAGCTGTGCGTTGAGCTGGGATTGGTTGATGGTGGTCAGCTGATTACGTGATAACATCCCGTTGGGGCTGTTCATGCTGATGATGGACTTCATCACCATGGCTGGGTTGGCCGAGTACTGGCGATGATGGCCTGGTCCAACATTCTGTAATGGAAATAAAACAAAAGCAAAGGATTGTTAAGAAAATAATACCAAATGCAATATCTTATTCATTCATTTTTCTCTGTTTTCATACTGCCTTTTGGCTTCATAGTCTTGCATTTCATTTGTCCAGCTCTAAGATATCTCACTATGACGCCCTACTGCCCAGTGCGTGAAGCTATTGAAGCTGTATCTTTTTACCACAGAAGAAATCGGGTCATTTGATTCTGCGGATTGCTATGAGGCAGATCACGTGTCACCATGTCCTGGGTCTTAAATGTATTACAGGCCATGATAAATTATCTTGACACCCAAAGAGCCAACTTTATAAGCCAGTAATAGATGGCTACACAGCTCAGTTGACTCATTTTCAAAACTCTATTGTATGGAAATCTGTGACACAGCTTTTGACTGCCGGTCCCTGGAGGAGAACAGTGGACTGAGTTCTCCGGTGCTCGAGTACATAACTTCAAATGCCACGATAAACAGACTGCTCCAGCTGCAGATTGCATGCATGCACCTACATGTCAGTTTAGTTTAAGGCGGCCGCAAGCCTACATTACTTTAAGATTATAACTCTGTGAAAGTAGCAGCTTCTATATAATCAATTCCATAAATTATCTGGCTGAAGGTATGAAGCTTAAGGGCTTTGAACAGTTTGCCTCCCTTCTGCCAACCGGGGGAACAATGTAATAACACTTTTCAAATCTCTCTCACTATTTTCATGGTGAAACATTTGGCTCCTGAAAGAGTCCTGGAGAAGGTGCATGCAACATGTTAGCATTGATTGTGGCGAGGATGAAATTACAAGGCTCCCCGGAGGGAAGACTGATCAGAAAGGCAGCGGAGTTGACATGGAACAGAGGAGGGAACGTGAACACAACAGAAAAAGGTGATTTGTTCTCCCTGGGCACATCCATCTGGTATTCAGCAGCACAAACTCAATCTCTCCCAACATCAACACATCATAAACCCACACACCTGGCTTTATTGAAAGAACCTTATGAATGTGCGTCTTCAAAAACAATATTGTAACACCATTTCAGACAGAAACATATTGGATCTATAATCTATTTCTTTCTCATATGCCATGTCTGCTGCTTATCATAAATACAATCTATGAAGTGAGAGCGGATTTATATTTACATCTGAGAGGAAGACTGTGCAAAAGGTGAGGGCGGATGTTGGGGGGGGGGGGGGGGGAGAAATTGAACACATATTGTTGCAATGCTTCAAATATGGAAGCTTTCTCGTGAATAAAAGCTGCAGTGAACAAGCCTGTGACCAAATGACTGTGATTTACATATCTGCAACGTTCCAAGTGCTATTGTCATCTTCATTACTGAGAACACGATGGCTCGCAGTTCGCTCTCTGCTCGCTGCGAACATCAAAGATGCACACACTGAGCTCATTAGTCGTGGCCATCTGTATAATAACACTTTTGCCCAATCCCAAAGATGCCGTTTTGACTTGGAGCAATGGCCCGTTCTGCCATTAGTTTTTAGTGATTCTTACGAAATGGCCTTTGGATGTTATGCATTTAAAAAAGATGCACCGATGACCACAGTTAAAGACTTAATCATATCACACTTAACAGCCTGCTAAATGTCTTATTGTACCACAAATAAAAGCAATAAGTGCAGAAGCAGCTATTGTGCTTTTGACTACAGTATGGCAGTGGCATTGTCAGTATTAGCGTCTGATTTGAAAAGATAACAAGGTGAAAGAAATCTTCTTAAGTAAGGGTTGCCTTGATTGTGAATATGAATCTGGTGGCAGGATGTTTATTTATGTCCCTCTTCCTTCTCATTTGCATTTTGATTGCAGTATTGTCAGCAGTCACAGCAGACATCTAACTAGATATTTTGATAGTCATCGTAAATCTGCAAATAAGTCCTTATCTTGGGTACACAGTGGCCAGATGTGCTCTCCTTAGTCAGGTGTGTCTGTGTGTGTGTGTGTGTGTGTGTGTGTGTGTGTGTGTGTGTGTGTGTGTGTGTGTGTGTGTGTGTGTGTGTGTGTTCAATCTGCCTATGTTTTTAAGGTCAAACACTAACAAGCTGAAATGACATCCCTTAATAAGAAAGGATTTGTTTAAATAAATGTAAGTTCATGATGTAACACTTCCCATTAGGTTGCTTTTAATGTGAATTCTGCAATTGCTTGCAACACCAAATGAATGCCGTCATCAATATGCTGCAAAATGAAGAAAAATAGCTTTGTTTTGTACATTGTTGTTGTTGGCCATCCACACTTTACATAGCAAACACTCCACACACAGCCATAAAAAGCGTTTGGAAAACTGTAGCAGATGAAAAAGAAAAACCTATTGACAATGTGTGAAACCCTTTCCCCAATAAACACAGGCCAATAAACACAGCAGCTGGACCCAAAATGCAACATTATGCATTCACCAAGCGATAAACATCTCAACACTGATGTCGATGAAAGGCAGGCAGCAGTCTGTTCTTTAAGATTTTGGAATCAGAATTTGGGGAGAATCTACGAACAGTGGCACCATGTACTGAGCTGTAACAGGCTGAAAAGAATGTTAACAAGTTCAATTTCCATTCAATCAATGCCAGAGCTCTTGGAAATGTTCCATGGCAGGAGAGGGGTAAAATCATCTATATGGTAATTATAAGGATGAATCCCCCAGTAACTTTCGCCAGCATGAAAGGTCAGTCCTATTAAAGATAGTTTATCAGTGCTCTGCACATATTCCTTTACTCCCCTTCTAAACGGGGACATCATTTTATTTTTCCCCTTCCTTTTTCAGCAACCTGCTGAAAGTCTGTGCTTAAGCCAAATGAGAAAAATGGAATTTTGAATGCTGGTAAAGGCTATAATAGCATGAAGATAAATTGTTTTTCTTTCCCCTGCCCTGCCTGAGTCAAACACACTGCTCTCTCTTTCTTTCTGTGCTGTGTGCAAACTCAGTTCATCCATCTCACCGACCTCTAACCCCTTCCTTTAAAAACAAATCTCTACCCCTCCCGTACACTGTAAGGCCAATAGGTTTCCTCCCCACGGTTCGGTACAGCCACTGACCCATACCCCTTTTCACCATTTCTCCTGATGCATTATGGGTATTTCAAACTTGTCCAACATGACATCATTTTATTTTGAGAGCTGCCTGAGAAAAGTAAATTACAGAATCAATCATGCAGAAGGTCAAGCTGAGACTTCATTACAAGTATTGCATGCCTGCATGAATATCTTTCATTTCTCACTGACCCAATATGTCACAATAGCTGTCCGTCGAGGGAGAAGAGAAATAAGAAACGGAGGGAGAAAAAAAAATCCACTCTCTTAAATTGATGTACAACTCATGTCAGTGCTTCTTGGCTTGGAAGGGAGATAAGAGGGAAGTGTGGAAAAACATGCTTTCTGCAACACTGCTCACATTTTCCATTTGATTCAGGATATAGTGGTTTTTGACCAGTCAAAGCCCAGGCTATTATACTCACTGCAATCTACACAATATCTAGACATATCAAATCATGTGAACAACAAATCTTTTTTTCCGCCTCACTTTCATCTAGCATGATGCACTTGGTCCAACACGCTATTTTCTGTCAGACATTAGCATATCTTTGCTGCTGTAGAGCTAATGACATGTGGAACAGCTGGTTGGTAATGAAAAAATATATAATACATCACCACATAGTGTTAAATGTAAAAAGACAGCAGGGGTCATATCTACTTAATATTGATTTGAACATCTAATAGAACTAGTTGACTACTGTAGGTTTTGAAATCCAATCGTTCAGGACATTTCAGTACATGCCTACATGTGACAAGAAAATCTGAAAGTGTGGTGAAGGCACCAGGTGTTTTTTGAAATAGAACCCAGAGACCCTTGCTGTGCAGCAGGGAGAAAATCGAGAAGAAATAGTGAATAAAGCAATACTGGCAGCCCTGACTCCAGTACTATTTGGCACTATTGAGATTCAATCACAAATCAGGAGGACACATGCTGGGAGACAAAAATGAGAATCAGAAGCTTGTTAGGAGAGCAGATTAAATAAATAATGACTTCAGATTCGCGGCTTGCCAGCCACATTGGAGCTGAGAAAATGTATTTCTCTTTGTAGAAGCCCGGCATCTGTGTCCAATTTGCAAAGCATACGCTGAACATTATGGGGAGAGGAATTAGCAGAACACTTGGCAATGCAGTGACATGGAAGAAGCCTTTGAAAATAGCCCAGGTATATTCACTGCTTGGGTTTCTCATTAAGTTCTGATAAGAGACAGGCTTCCAGACACACTAAATATTCTCTACCAGTAAGCATGTATACAGAAAAGAAAACCAAGACAAGTGTTTGGGAAATATGAGCATGGGGGCTTGATGAAAAATGTAATTGCAATAGTGCACGGTTTATTTGTTTGCCCCTGCAGCCATAACAAATAACACAGAATGTAATCATGTATATAAGGTTGTCATTCCTTTATCAGTGTGCTGACAAAATGACAAAACACCCCTCTTAGGGCCTCAGTAAATCATTGTCTCTGTATATAGAATGCACTGCGAACTGCGCTGTTACTTATCTCATTTAAAAGTTGCGTTTCTCTTCTTCAAGGCGCAGATAAAACCACAGATGAATAGAATTTCTGAAGGCATTGTCACGAGACTTTTGGGGATCAATCCCATTTACAGGAGAAATGAAGGGCCACCACAAGCCTTCCTGCGGTACAATGTGCGATGACTGATAACGAGTGAGTGGTGTGCAGTCGACAAAGCCACGAGGCAAGGAGCAGAAACCCACATTCTACCCCTCAGTTTTTAATAGAGTCTCCGCACAATCAGAGACATGAGCCATGCAAATGGTGTTAAAGAGGAATAATGTTTTAGAATCAAATCTAATCCTCCAGCAAGTCGTGAGAACAGTCAGGAATGTAATTGTGTCAAGGTTTCGTTTCTTCCAGATGTAGAAAGCTTAACTGACCATGAAATGAAAATTCTTTAGGCAAAAGCCTTCTGGGGCTCACTTACTGTATGCGGCGCAGACATTTTTAAAAGCCGCAATTATTTCACATGCCAGAAACATGGGAGCAGGAAAAAGAGCTGTAAAAAACGACAGCCGCCTTCCCATATGGAATGTAAATAAATATCTGTAATATCAGTGCGACTCAACAAATGTGTTGGAGAGAATTCACACAGCTATAACGATCATGACACCTTTTCTCAATGCAATGTGTTTTGTGGTTCACAATTCAATTCAGCATCAACAACATCTTCTCTCAGCTCATGCCTTTGTCCTTTCATTTCTGTTCTCCTAAATGAATCTTCCGTTTTTCTAATAGGTCTGCAAGACGACTAGTCAGCCAGTGACATTTCCATTTTTCCTCCTCAATGCTTTCTAGGAATGTGGCATTTGAAAATGCCTTTTGGAGCCCAAGACAACAATCTCACAATCTATAGCACACATAGCGGCATCAATATAAGGAGTGATTATTTTGTCTGCTGTTCCATGTTTGACCGTGCGTATCAGAAGAAAGGATTAAGTTAGGTTCAAGTAGGTTCATGAAGTGGTAATTCTCTACCACGTAAAGACAAAGCTGATCCTAAACTCCGAACAAATCATGTGTCTTTTCTGAACGCCTCGTGTGACATTGGACAGGAGCGTGCATCAGCATTTACAACCGGAAAAAAAGGGCTTCTGGATGCAACATGAATAAAATATGAGCACGTGAAAGTGTGGCACTTTTGGGTCTCATTCTCACCGTCCTACTGGGACTGAATGTGCTTTATACTTTAACACCTGTGATCTATTCACATCTGCTCACCTTACAGAGGGGGGATCATCGAAAAAGTGTGTGCTTTTTTTCAACAAAACCTCACAGTAAGTAACATAACATCATGACATTTACTCAATGTGATCATATACCTCCTGTGTTGTAAACAGGGCCAGATGCTGTGCCAGATGTACTGTCAACAGGAGGGGTACAAAAACTGTCAAGGTGACATTACGGATCAGAAAAAGGCCTCATTAAAGGACTGCATGCTTCTGATTTCAGTGCTGTCCAGTAGCTTATATTTAAAAGTCATATCTGTAGTGTGAATAGACACATCTGGAGCTACAGGAAGGACACACACTGGAGCAGGAATTCTGTGTTGACAGATGAGGATTTCTCTAGACGCAGACAATACATAGACTTCTTGATTTTATAGTGGGGTAAATGCATAGCACACTCACCACAGGTTGGCCGTTGTTGACAGACAGCCCTTCCTGGTCCATCATGTTGCGTGAGATGGTAATAGAGGGCAGATCCATACTCTGAGGGGGGAACTGAGGGATTAACAGACCCCTGTGATTAACTGGGGGCTCCGGCATTGCTGGATAAGGTGAGTCCACGTCCGAAAGACCCATCCCAGACTCAATCTCAGGTGGAGGTGTGATGGGAGGAATCTCAAACTCCTCGTCTCCCAAGCTGGGTGTATGGAAGGTCTGGAAGAAAGAGGAACATCATTACATGAAGCAACTAAAAACAAAGCCTTATCCAACAGGCCAAACTTTGTTTAAGAGAGAGAGTGTTTTAGAAGAAGAGTGGTAATACACTTGTCTGTAAGTGCACTAAGATGTTACATTTCCTAAACCTATTAAAGTCCACTTTGAGGAAAAAGGCAAGCGCGGAGCAAGACGTCAAAAGCAAAATATCAAGCAGCAATCACGAGAGAGAGAGAGGATACACGATAAAAGCTCTTAATCTTAAGGACGGAAGATGTTGGGTTGAAGTGCAGTGAAAACACACATCACAGAGAGATGGGTTTAAAGAACATTTTCAAAGATTATTACGCTTGGCCAGAAGTGTTTCTTTTGGTTCCCCTCGCCTGCACCCTTACATCTGCTCATCAAACAGCCTAATCCTTCTGCCTTTCGAATTAAAGCTTTTGGTCACACTTCATTTGCTTATGTGCCTTCTTGGAGATGGGACTGTTCACCTACTTGGGTCTTGTTTGCATCTGTGCATTGCATTAAGCTACTCTCTGCAAAGCCAATATATTCATATGCTCACAATGACCACATACATGCAGCTGAACACCTGCCAGCTGGCGTGATTTTAGGGCTAGCATTTTGCACACTGCATGCATCCAAGGGGTACTAGCAAACACAAAAACAAAGTGGGTAGATTTTTTTTGTTGGCGTCAGGTCAATTTCAACAATATCTTTTAAATTCTACCTCCAGCGACTTTTTCAAATATAAAAAAACGTGGGAGTTAATAGGCGTTTATACCAATTCGAACAGATACCGAGGATTTTTGCTAGGCCAATTTGACAGTTTTACAAAGGATTGTAGGTCCTGGAAATGATAATGCACCACTTTCTGAAGATAAACGCTGCTTCTTTGAAACTCTTTGTTGGCTTGCTCTTAACAGAATGTGAAATTACAGCAATAAGGCATGTGAAAGTGTCGTCGCATGGCTTTTCCTATTGGAATCAAACTTCTACTCCAACAAAGGTGAAGTTATAATAACCTTAAACCTATAAACCTCATATTAAGAGTTGCGTGGCTTGCCAGCAGAGCTCACTCTGGTTAGCAACAAAGCTAACCAGGCATGTCTTACCCGTCTTCCTTGGCTTTGTCTCTCTGTCTCCGGTGGAAGATAGAATATCAAAAAAGGAGACAACTGAGAGAATATGCCAACACAGGCCTTGATTAGGGAGTATTAATGTTCCCCTTGCTTGCTTTAGCACACAGACACTTGAAACTAATTCATTGCCTACTCAGGGCAGCTGTCTTGACAAGCACTGATGAATTCCAGTGGCGGAGGAAGCACATAGAGTTTTCATTCCTTCCCTTTCTTTCCCTCTTCCTGCTTCCTACCAATGTTTCACTTTTCAGTGCTTGTTTCACGGCTAGAGAATCAGTTCTCCTTTCAAAAGGAGCTAAGGTCATATTCATCACAGTCCTAGCCTCTGGCTTGCAGAGTGCATTATAAATCACAAGCACCTTCAGTAGCAACCATTTACTCTGAGTCCTCTGCTGTCATATTATGCTTCAGTCCACTCAAAAAGCTCCAGAACTTAGTTCCCAATAATGTCTGTTCAGCAAGGCGTGAATCATAGAGCAGAGTGTTTATGAAAATAAACAACAAAACTATCAGAAGTCATGGGCAAAAAGTTCCAGTAGCACAAGGGAAGGATCAGAAATCATTCATCATCACTGTCTTCATTCATCATGTTCAACATCCCCTGTGGAGGAGAGTTAACCTCAGAGCCCACAGATCTACAGCCCAAGTCTCATCTGTATCATATCATGCAGCTATCCCAAAACACTGGCACACTATTATAATCTCTCCGGCAGAAAAGCAGTAGTGTCGCCCTGTCCAGAGCAGTCAGAAACACTGCACAGGCTGTGTATCCCCATAAGCCTTCGCAGGAATGCTTTTGAGAAAAGATCAAGTAATATCACTTACATTGTTTGTCTCTTGCTCTAATATGGACACTATTTGCTGATGTGAGTAGGTGTATTGTGGTGTAAGTAAAACAGGGCAGAACTATTTGCGTCCCTGGCTCCTAGGCTGCTGCAGTGTGGCCTGAATTACAGAGCCAACCTAGAGATTTGAGATGTCAAAGGAGAAGGTTGGTTTAGGTGAGCTCCGCTTTTGTAGGAGCGCTGCAAAGCATGACTGTGACCTTTAAGGAAAACACAGACATGCACTTGAAGGAGAGGAATGCTGGTGTTTAATGTCTGCTAAACAGAATGAGAGCAGAGGATAGAAGAATACTGTGGGGGAGGAAACAGCAGATCAGTATCAAAGACTTTGCTTGTGTGCATCGCCTCGCTTTGTTAATGATGATACAAATTAACATCTGCACCAGGGGCACTGGTAATGGAGACATGGCGTTTGTGTCTCATTCGGGAGAGCATGGAAGATGTCAGCTGTCTGCGGAGAAAAGAGCCTCTCCCCGGGGGAAGAGGAGCCAGATTTGACTTGAACCCAAAGAGTGTTGCACAGTGTCTTGTGTCATTTCACATAAAGCCAGTCTAATTCTGCACCAGGAGCAGCTTAGGGGGCTCTGATCGGAGATTAAGAGATGCACGATCCACTTTCTGCGCATCACCAGCCTGATTATCCATTTAAATTGTTCTGAAAGGCTCAGAAGAGCAAAGTGCCAAGGCAGATGCTGGCTTGGGATGTGCAGGCATGTACATGTTAAAGAGCGGGCAAGGGACAGCAGCACAGCCCAGTGTGTGTGTGTGTGTGTGTGTGTGTGTGTGTGTGTGTGTGTGTGTGTGTGTGTGTGTGTGTGTGTGTGTGTGTGTGTGTGTGTGTTTCCATTGGCAGCCACAGGGTCCAGTAATGTGAGGGCAGAGCAGGGCTTGTAACAGAGAGGCCTGATGTTCCCAGAATGGGCATCCTGAGCAGGTGTGTGGGAAATCTCCTGTCCTCAGTGGGAAACATGGGCCAAACTACACTGTACTGCAAACCATTTTCAGCAGTCCGAATATTCAGCATTAAAATATGAGTTGGGTTTGTGAAGTATGACGAGGTAACCCTTTAAACTTGATGATTTATGATTATCACGATTGCTTGATCAACAAAATAAAATGAAAGTACAGTAAATGCAAAGTAAACGTTACCAGATATTGGACTTAATCCAAATGTAATAGTCTTACGGCACACTAACCTGCTCACACTGACAATGACAATAACATGCTGATGTTTAGCAGGTATCATTTCTAGATTTGATCATTTGCACTCAACACAAAGTACAGCTTAGTCTGATGGGAATGTAATTTGTTTTCGTTATAAACCAAAGTGTTGGACATCCACAATGTGAACTTAATGTTGGTGCTGGATAAAGAGTCAGGGAATCGTCAAAGTTATTACAAATCATCCTGAGCTGGGTATATGTAACCGGTGTCGTTAAGCGGTCTCTGCGTTGTGTTTTGCGTTTTTTATGGATGAGACCCGAGCCAGCGTACAGTTTGGACGATCTCCGTTTAATCACTGACAACAGATATAACAAATCAGTGTTATATTCAGCTTCCCTCACAATGACTCCTCTCACGTGGAACATTTACAGAAAGGGGCGATGAAACGTGAGGGACACAATATGAAGGGGGAAGTCACCATAACAATAATCCTCTGAGCACAGCGACCACACTTCAGAGGTTCCGCCCACTGATCTCTGACCTCGTCAGGTATTGAACATTCAATAAATGAAGAACACAGAATTTGTGTGATTATACTAAATGATACCAAAATACAAATACAAATGTACAACTGTTACATATACATGTCTGTAGATTAAATACAAATAATTGAAAGGTAATTTCACTTAAAATAAACAAATGTGAAACTCATGGTAACAATATGTGTCAGGAGATTAAAATGTATTATACACCGTCTGGGAACCATGAATGTCAGTCCAAACATTTATTTTTAAGAGATGAGAACATGTGTGATATATATCATTGGTGAAATATCCTAGAGGCACTGAATGAAAAGTTAGGGATTCACTATTCATTCTCTAGGCAAACCATCCCTGTCACCAATAACCAAGCAGGTAAACCTCATTCATGAACTGTCAGGTGATCAGCCATGTAAGTAAACTTCATTCTCTTAGGAACAGTTTAGTTTAGATTATTCTGCAGACCTACAGAAACATTGCCATCCCTTGAGTCATCCCACTAGCAAGGTATCTTAAGTGCAAAGTGTCAACAAACCAGCATACAGTATGCTTCTTTATATAAAAGTATATGCAGCTTGATCAATGATAACTCTATTTAACAAATGAATCACTGAAACAATGTTTACAGCAGTAGAAACAGGGAGGTAAAGATATGTATCAGTGCATTTTCCCCTCCGATATGTAATCCTTGTGCTGCCATGGTGCTCTTTCAATATCAGGACAAAGAGCAAGAGAAAGCTTTTCAGGCAATATTCCCAGCCCTTCAATAAACGTAGTAATGCAATTCACAGATGCAATAACCAAGACTTGTTAAAGGCAGCAGCATGCAATTACCGCATATAATAGGCCTCAGAATCAATAGAGGCAGGAGTGAGGATCCAGTTTCAAATATCTAGACAGGCAAAGTGCAGCTACTCAAATGACAACATCAACCATGGCACCCCTGATCAACATTATTTCAAATTTGGATCATTTGTAGTCCATTTCTACATATTTATAGTTCATTACACAGCTCTAATTTGATTGGGAGAGTAAAGTGATACATCTGAGTGCAACACAATCTCAGTGTACAGTATCTTTTTCCCTGAGGAAAGCAGTCAAGCTTTCCCTGCTAGGATGTATGCTTTACCAGGCAAGGTCATCTTATCTCATCCTCTAAGTGCATGAGGTAAATGATACACCAGCCATCTAAGCAGCAAATACTGGGCTGTTGTTCGGCTGTAGAAGCATTCTGCCGTGAGCTCAAAACATATTGTATATTAAAAGATACAGTGTGTATTGTGTAGACAAACAGTGACTTGAGCTTTTAGCTTTTACGATATTGCTTAAAGCACAACAATAACATTGTGTCCAACCGTCTACTTTAAGCTACAGTATGAGTCAACAGCAACAATAGTATCACCAAAGACAAACTGCTTTATAGAGTAAGTATAACGGACATTTGTGGAATTATTCATCTTATAAATAAAAAGTTTAGTTCCTAAACTATTTCACATTTTGAATTACGCTGCCGCTTCCTTACTTGGCCAAATATGAGAAATGAGGCTAGCTTATGGTGGCTTTTTTTGCTAAAGTTGGCAAACTATAGATAGGTATTGCTTATATATTTCTTTTAGGGTTAATTCACCAACTTTATATCTTAAATTGTGTCACTTTTTCTTTTTACCATGAACCATTATCTTAGAATTGTCATGCGTGGCAGAGACAGCTGTTAGATAAAGTTGCATGTTCTCAGTTAATGGGTTAAACAACTAGAGCCTCACATTGCAAATGTTCATGTTAAACAACAGGTGGTTGGAAAGAACAGGCCTGAAACGCTGTCAATTGATGTTGTTCAAGCTTCAGTTAAGTTTCATCAGATTGAAGCTGAGCACAAATGCTCACTTACAAACTTCTTAGGAACATAATTGAAAGCTGCTACATGAAAATCGGAAGACCTTTTACAGTCGGCTAAGTAATGGGATTCTAAGGGACATCTTGCAGTTTGAAAAAGAAAAACATATTGCGATGTAGGTCTATGTTTGATTATTATATACGAATGCTAGCTAGCACCATCGCCTTGATAACGGTTAAAACAAAAAGATACGCATGAGTGCCAATCATTAGATGAAAGCTAATTGTACCAGACCTAATTTGAGAATGAGGTGTAGCTATATGCACAAAGTAGAAGGGAGTCCTCCATGAATACAAAGAGGGTGCATCTTTTTATAAAAATAATCTTCTGGTTTGATTTAAAACAATGGTGACATAATTTTAGACTGCTGTCAAAGTTAGCTATTCATCATGGAGCCCTCAAAATGGACTCTTTTTTCCCCAGCTGCACCGTAAGCCAAAGGCAGACACATGAAGAAGATTAATATAGCATTACAGTGGAGATATTGTAAAACCTCAAAGTGGAAGTCACATTAATCTTACTTTAGCTCAGGTTGCAACAAACAATACTTAGGGTACTCCAAGAGAAGAAAAACCTATGCTCTATTCTCTCTCTCTCTCTTAAGCACAATACCATCTGTGCCCTAACACTGGAAACAGTTGTTCCTTTTGATGAAATGCAAATGAGCTTTTTATCAAGGAGCACCCCCCCCCACCCTGCCCCATCCACAGCCCATCCCCCCCGCTCCCTGACTGCCACAGCTGGGGGCTGAACGCTCTCCAAGCAGCTTGTGTCGGCGTGGTCTCAGCAGCCAGTGGATACAGAGGATGCGCCCACTCAGCGTAAGTCTGGGGGGGGAAATTAAACTTCTTCCATAACACTCTGGCTTTGTGAAGCGGCCACTTCATGGTCAATCACTAAACACACTACGAGCTACGAGGCCACAGTTGCATCCAAACTTTGCAAATAACGTGAATGAATACAATAGTGACATCCATCTCATTGTTTTAGAGTTGTTGCAGGGATGCTTTGCTGTGGGTTTCGAAAGCCAGATCAATCTCGCCTGCAAAACTGAATGAAATTGGCCCGTTTGAACCACAGAGAATGATGGGTATTTTTGGTGCACTTGTCTCTAATGATAGGGCAGCAGAGTGGGTGGAAGGGGAATAGAGCGGGTAAATTTAGCACACTGTTAGGACTACTATGGCTCAGAGAGGCGGTTATATACCTCCAGAGGAAGAACTATTCCCTTTCCTTCAGAACAACAGTACAGTACACAGAGTTGTTCCAGCTGATTGTTGGAGACATGTCACTTTATGTAAGTGCCGGCAGATAGAGAGTGACGGAACTATACAATCTCTTTGGGCTTCTTTATTACGTCTTTGAAAAGAGGATAAAAACAGGTGTTTATAACCTCAGCTTTCTGGGATATCACTTTATCTTACAGAGTGCATTCGAGACAGTCGGATCACATCAGCGTCAGTGTTCAGAAGTTAAAATGAGACAATATAGGGTGAGCCAAGCTCCTCTTTCTGCAAGTGTATTGTCTCTCTCGGCTCTCCTACAGCAGGTACTTGAGCAGGTAGCATTTCAAGCAAGAAAATGTTGTTGCGAATGACAAACATGTAAAAAATTCAAATTGGAATTTCTCATTAAGGATGATTTAGGGGGGATTTAAAGTATGAAATATAAGGCTTGTGCTTTAGATATTACTTTTACTGTTGCCAACTTTTCCCATCTGCATCTCCTTATAAAACCACAGAGAAATATAAAAAAAATTGAAGTTTAATTTGAATAAATAAAGAGCTTTTTTTTGCCGCTGCCTCTTATTAAATCAAATAACTATTCATAGCTTTTACTGCACTGTAACTTTTATTCTTGTATTTTATACCTGCCTATTTTGTCTGATTCTCTTGACTTTTAATGACTGTTTTTAAATGTATTTAAATTACATTTTATAATGTGTTTCCTTTTGCAATATGACTGATTGCTATTCAGTTTTTTTGTAAAGCACATTGCAAAACTGCCTTGTTGAAATGTGCTATATTACTACACTTGCCTTATCTTTCCTTACATGACACCTATGAAAAATATATTCAGATATAAGCAAGTAAAATAACATTTACTCCACTGTACTTTTATTGATAAGTATTGGAGTTAAGTTTGCCTCAGTTGAACTTCAAATGATCTAGTTTGAATGTGTAAAAATGAAAGTATACTCACATCACCAGCGAGCAGGGCACCGTTGGCTTCGGCCATGTTCATGTAGTTGTTGTTATTCTGGAACTGCAAATGAAAACAAAAAAACTATCAGCTTACTAGAGTCCAGATACATTTCAGTGCAACACGAGCTCTCCTCTTTCATAATGGACACCTGCCACTCAAACAGATTGCCACACTTGGCTGTGAATGTTTACACACTGGGTTAACCCCTTTCTCTACGTGCACGGGCGCATTTCGCCACTCTGCCATTATTGCAACATGACGAGAGGCTTGTGAGAGGCCCAGGCCAATTCAACCAGGGTAATGAGAATCTGGTCTGGCTATTCAGCTCATATGGGATGGCAATTAAGGATATGTTTGCATCACAAAGCCCAGTATCAAGATGCTGTGGCAGGTTATTAACTTCAAATAAACTATGGGAGTGGAGAGATACTGAGGGGAAATAAGGAGGTGGGGAGTGGACTTGGTTTTCCAATTTATCTTACCCATGTTAATTTGACATTTACTCATGAATAATCTGATCTCAACATAAAGGAATTTTGTCTTTCTTATCCTTATCTATCCTAGTGGAATGCAACAAATACACATGTATTGTAGTCAAGCATATATGTGGTAATACCTGAGTTTATATCACGGTAATAACACAGTATTCAGTGGTGATAAAATAACAAGTGTCACACCTTCAAAGACATATTAGTAAGTGAGTCAGTTGATAAGCTATTAAACCCTGCACTTTGGTAAGAAATAACATGTTTTCACAATACACCCCGCCCTCTCAACCCACACATAGCCTGCTGGCAAAATGGCAGCTACTTCCTTTCTTTGGAAACACAACCATGCTGACAGGTAGGAACAATGGGACATAGAATGAAGAATTATGGGCTAGCAGCTGGGCCCGGGAGCACAATGCACCTCTCTGTGAGTGAGGAGTGCAAAACCCAGCCTACACGGCACGGAGGAGAAAGAGTCACAGTGCGTTTGCGTCTTCATGAGGTACCACTGAGAACACATTTTTTAACAAAGCTCGGCAGTAATCTCTTTTGTGTGTTTATTACAAAGTCACTCTCTCAAAACATTATGAGAGACCAAGAACTCCAATAGAAGGAGAGAGAGAAAATGGCTTCTTATCCTAGCAGAAGCCAAACAATGGTGGAAACAAATTAAGATCAGAGGGAAATGAGAAGTGCATTAATATATTTTCTATCCCTTTGTGTTTTCTCCCCATTCTCCTTTTCTTCTGAGTGGTTAGTATGCGAATGTAATTACAGAAAGAACTGCTGCTAATCAACTGCGAATGGTATCCATTAATTAGTCTATGCCCTGGAGAGAGAGTGGGGAATCAGCAGCAATGTTAACAGTGTTACGCACCAATGAGAAGCGGAGCCACAAGCAGGTGGTTGCAGCTCTATAGGCCTCTGGTGCCATCTCACCTGGAGCGGCCCTAATACACTATATCTGACTGGAGCAGCAAGGTACATGTTTGCTTAAAAGGCACACAAATGTATAAAGACACACACCCTTCTAGTGAGAAACATGTGTCAATAGCTAGCACTCCTTCACCCCCCAGCTGTGTGTAACTTTGAGACATGACATGGCCGGGTTACGTCACCCACTCGGCTGGTAATTAACCTTACGCTGGGCTTATCTTGGAAGTGTTACTCTTCTTCTTTTAGATAACAAATTGAAGTCTCAGAGATATCTTTCTCCATCCAAGCACAAGGAACATTGTTCTGATAGTGAGGGGAGATAGGGCTTCTTGCAATGCTGTCTCTGTCTTCTTCTGCTGGATGTGAATACGATTTTAAGAGTGAGTGCTTATTGTAAACAGTTCTCTGAGAAGTCAGGAAAACCCCAGAGGAATGGAAGGTAATCTTTATTCTACTTTAATATAGATGCTTGTATACTGTCCTGTCTCTTGTGTAAAAGAAAACTAGCTGTAAGATATCGTCTTGATTATACTTTTTTGTCATTTCCAACTGCAGTGTTGCACAACAATGTTTCATGTGGATGACAAATTCAAGAGCATGTAAGTGATGTTTCATTAAAACAATCACCTCTGTGGGGCATTGTTGAAAAAAATACATACTGTGAGAACAGACATTGAGTGAAACACATTAGCTCCATTAGAGAAAACACAATCAAGTTAAGTCCAAGTGCTAATTAGTGCAGTGAAACTCCCTGGGCTCTGCCTCTGTGAATCTGGTTTTATTGTGTGTCCAGGGCCCTTTAAGAGCAGTTCCATATCTCCACCGAGAACTGTGACTAACATCCCAAGAAATGTCCCCAGCCACCAGTATCAATCTTCACCATTAAAAGCTGTACCATGTACCAGAGCAGAAGCCCCGGCGGACAACCAGAGCAGGGAGTGGACATCATTATTGTTATTCCCAATTCATTTTTTTGTGGGGGGGAAGGCGTTTGCCACTCATGTTCGCAGCAGTGACGATTGCGTCAAGTGCCAGATGAAATTAAGTGTGATTGGAGGGACCACGCAGCTAAAATGGGTCAGCGCAGACAATGAAGGCTCTGTAATTAAAATGATGTGACGAGCTAGACAAGAGCTGCCATGTGAGACGGAAAACAACCGCGTGTGTGCCAAGAAAGTATATATTTTGAATCAGAGATGTAACACATAAAGAAAAGGTAAGGAGTGGAATTACTTGGTTTTGTGTGAAATAAATGCTCATGACATCTTTAAATATCCGGTAAAGCTCTATAGCAATAGCTCAGGCAGTGATCTTACAAGCTTTCAAGAAACTAGCACTTCTTTCTTCACATTTCCAAAAAGCAGTCATGTGCTACAATAAGAGACCCAAAGGGAAGCCATAGAAATGGTGCTTTAACGTAACTACGGGGTAGAAGGCTTTTATTATCAGAGTGAATTCACAGTTAAAGGTGTAATATGAGTTAGACTAAGAGTCAGACATGGCTGCATGGCAGAGCAAACACTGGGCAGTCAGTGTTTTTATTTCTCCTTTTGCACCACCAGCACATTTCTCCAATAACTGTTTAAAAGGAGAGAATTAAGAGCTTACATGAGCCCTGATCCTAACGTGAAAAGACTCCACTGTCTGCATGATCGCAGGCAGACAGAAAACTAGGCAACCTTGCAGTGAATGGGATGAATTTTTTAAGTTTTCTGTAAAAGACACACCATTGCTTTTTTATTCTATGTCAAGAAAATACTTCAAGGATATGATTTGAATCCTTGTGAAAGCTTCAGATTTGTATTATCAGACAGAACTGTCCCAATCAAATTCTAAGCAACAAACATCAGCATGCATACTGCTTGTTTTTTGTATGTTTCTGACTGAAGCCAGTGTAATTTTGATGCTCGATTTTCCCCCCCACATTTTAAATCCCAGGGCAGGAATATTTGTACGAGAGAAAGTCCAGTGGGAAATAAGGTGTTTTACAGCTATTATAGCAAACAAAATTATTTCAACCTCAGGGTGAACACAATATTGCACCAACACGACCCCATCTAACCCCCAATATGATGGAGTAACCACACAGATCCTATCAGTAAACATGAACTGGACAACCAAGATCCACAGAACACACGCCTGAAGAGCCTCTGATAGCACAGCTGCCAGCTCTGCGTGCATACAAATGGAAAATAAACATACCTTCTTATTTGAACAGTGACTACTGCTTTGTCAATGGTGATTAAATGATAAAGAAATACTGGAAAAGACGCAAGAGAAACGCTTTTTGCAAACGAACATTATTTAAACCTGCATTTCCTTGGTTTTGACGTATAATCAAAAAGTCACCATAGCCGTGCTGTCTGTCAGCAGGTAACCAAATTGGACACATTCTTCCTCAGCACCAAAAACCACCAAACTAATTCAATCAAGAGCCCGGGCTTTTCCAGAAACATATCAACTGCTGACAAGCGATTTTACAGTTCAGCTTGAGCTCAGTAATCACAGACTAGCATGTGTTCTCTGGAATATGACACTCGCGCTAATATGTTCTCCAGTGGTCTCCATAAAACGCAGCAAAAGCACCGCAGTTAAAACTCAACGTCCAATCCCGAGAAACACACGGTAATTTGCTGTGTATTATTTCATGCAATTTCCTAAAAGCATAGCCTACCACCAGGGCTCTTGTTCAGTGAAGACTCAAAAGGAGTAGCACTGTTTCCTCTCCTGCAAAGGCTCTGTTGTATCCTCTGTAGAAATAATCTTCTTATTCTCTGAGGTCCTCTTCACCAAATACAGGCTCATTTACAACCCAATTCAGCATAAACACTGCAGCTGCCTGGTGATCACAAGACCTATTCCCACCCAGCAGGCCGTTGCACATGCAGGGGAGAGCTGACATACTATAGAGATATATATTCCTCCTATGTGAGCAGCAGTCAATTTGTAAAACGACTACACATCGCAGCATGATCACGCAGTGGGCTCGCGACCTGTGCTCTGATCTGCATGCTGAATCGATTGGTAATTCGCTTTAAAGCTAAAATCATTACTCTGACCAGCACTGTCTTCCTCCATCAGGATTGATAGTCCTAAACTACATGAAGAAGAATTAAGGGGGAAGTTCATTTTAAGCATCTCACTCTTCATCTTCCTCTTGCCTCACCACAGTAGGGGCAGTGGATCCAACATGAGAAAAAGTCCAGGTCTTATCTTGGATCTGAATCAGACTGATGACAGTTTTGTTCAGGCTTTTTGCTGATTATCTTCTCTCTGACACCACACTGATCATTGTGGACTGAACCAGTGTCATCACATCTTGCTTTGCTTTAGTAAACATAGGCCTGGGTGAACAGTTCATATTGCAGAGACATCAAGCCTGACACAAACGATCATATTGTCTGCTACATGTTACAAAAATGACATGAATCAGCTCCAACAGGATGCTACCTTTTGTAATGACCAGAGACTGGTAAAAAGGACCTTTTCTCTTTGGAAGATGTAATCACTAAGGCTTAAAACTATGTGAACAAGAAAGTATGGATGGCATTTGTAACGAGTGAACCAAAAAGCAGAGCCTCTGTACCTACAGTCACGGGGCAGGAAACTACGTTTGCATATCCAACGAAAATCACA